TTGAGACAAATAAAAGATACTATTGAAAAAGCATTTATATTACAATTAAAAATTGTCATTAAAAATCCATCATCAAAAAATTCCAAAATGCTCAAGGTAAATTACAAAGAGACCTTTAATATTTGAAGATTATTTTTTAAAAAAAATACTTTAATCTTTTCAAAAACAAATATTAAGGTTTTAGAAATTTAAAAAAGCTACAACTATCATGCTAAATAATGTTCTGCACAAAGTTTTAGAGATTGTGAAGAAAATCTTATCTTTTTTATTGTATATATATAAATTTAAAGAAGTTATTAAAGACACAGCAAAAGGCAAAGCAGCCAATCTAAAGAAAGTAGATATTGAATCTTTTTAGATCTTCTAGCATATCATTAGTAATAACTATATTATTATAATTAAAAATATTTTAGCTAAAAGTTGATTCTCACATTATACTACAAAATAATATATTATTTGTTTGCAAAAAAGAAATAAAAAAAACAAAGTGGGAAATTTAAGCTCCACTATTTTATTAAATACTTCTTATAAAACTTGTACCAAATCAATCCAAAAAAACTTCCAAGCAATTTTCAAAGAGGTTATTTAACTCAATCAAACTAATGTTCTTTTTCAAAGGTTTATCTTATCTGTAAGATATTTCTATTTTAATGAACAAGTTAACATAGACAATATATTGATGACTCTTTAATCATTGTCCATGAAGAAGAAGAAAATAATTTCTATTTGGTTAAAATTATTAAACAAATTGGCTTGGCTTTTGATCTAAATATAAATTAGTTTAATTTCACTGCCTACTTATAATTTGAAATAATTGACAAACCAACATAGTTTAATCAATTTGAATGAGTAAAGGAAACTAATACAAATATTAGTTAATTATTTGAAACCACCTATGATATTTCTTTGTACATTTAAGATGTTGATTAATTTTTTATCAATTAAGATATAAAAAAATTAGATTGTTGATGCTCTATTCAAATTCAATGTGGCAAATCAAGCCATCATTGCAATGAATATTTTACTTTTCTTATTTTATATATATATATATATATATATTTATTCATATGGACTTATTTTATAAAGGCCATTTAAACAATTAAATTAATAGTTAAAATTTTCTACAAAAAAATATTATTTTTTTTATTGGTCCAAAGTAGCATGGATATATTGTGAAGAAGGTGGCTTTAGTATTATCTATCTAAAAGATGAAACCAAAGCTTTCTTGTCTAAATGGATTTTATTGGCTTTTTAACCAAGCAAAGGAAGTATTTGATAGTTTCTTAGGTATTTTATGATAAATGCTAAATCAATGACTTATGAAAATTGAATATTACATTTGGTTTATTCACTTACTTGAAATCATAAATAAAATACAAGGTCTAAATTATGGAATAATTTATTTTAAACAGAATATATATGTATAATTTTCTTTGGCTCAATCCTCCTACCTTCTTGTATAATAAATAGAACTTTTTCTATGGTAGGATTTTCAATTTCTTTTGATTGATATTCACCTAAAATTCCATTGAGCTGCAATTTTTTACTCAAATAGTCTTTATTGTGTAAACAACCTCTATAAAGAGCCAATGTCTTTACTCTCTATAGAAGAAATTATCTCCACATATCACATTCCATTATATTAAAGCTCTATTTTAAATTTATTTTACACTGATTTTTTAATTTCTTTTAAAAAAATAATAATAAAAAAAAACAATATACTATGATCCTTCCAAAATCCAATGATTAAATCAAGTTATATAAATTGGGATTTAATCTTCTTCTTGATATGGTGTTTCAACCTCCTTTGGAATATATTGCAGTAGAGGAAATTAAATATTTTGTCCTCTCTTTTTCTATTTTATTATTATTATTATTATTATTTAAGTAGATCTTTAGTCTAGAATTTTTCACTTTGATTAAAATTTTAGACTAGAATTTTCTTCAAAATTGCTAGAATTATTTTTAAAAAAAAAACCAAGAAGAAAATAAATTATAGGTGTTGATTTCTTTTACAATCATATTACTAAATTTACCTTTTATTCTATTATATTTTATGGTTATTAGTAAAGAATTCATGATATATTTTATCAAACTTGCTAAAAAGTTATTTCAATTTTTTTGTAATTATATTTTTTTATAATTAGTAGTATGAATTAGAAGATATATTTATTAAAAATATATAAAAATAAATAAAAAACAAATTGAAAGAAATGCAATCAAATAATTACACCTTCCAAAAAATATTCACACTTTATTCACTAAATATTTATTCAATAAAAAATAAAAAGTATATTTTTATATAAACAATTTTTTATCTTTCTAATGACATGAAAAATATTTAAATAAAAATTATTATAAAATTAATATTATAATTTATAATACTTTAAAAATAAATAAAAAATAATAATTTAAGAAAAATTTACTTAAGAAATTAAATATTTGGGCCTCACCAAGGCTCATGAGTAATATACATGGGTTTCCTAGAAAATCCACAAGGCCTTAGTCTTGTACTTATATTTACTTCTAAGGTGCTACAACCCATGTCAAATATGTGTACCTCTATTCTTACAACCACTATATTAGTTGTTAGTCCTTCCATTTTCTACTAATAAAACCACTTTTGTATTTTTGACTATACTATGGTGTTTAAAAATACCCACCCATTTTAAGAACCTTTCAAGGCCTTCAAATCTTGCTCAAATTCTTCATTATGGTTTCTTAAGGTAGTAAAATTATTTTTACAAAGATCTTAAAAATATGCTCTAAAATTTTCTAATAATTTTAAATAAATTTTAATTATATTATTAAAATATTTATAATATTTTATAATATTAATATTAATTTAAAGCTACTTATTCCATACAGATAATTTTTTATAGTGATAAAATCAATTTAAACCAATAAAATCTAATATTTTTACATAAATAATTAAAAATACATGAGGTTCTTTCTTATGCTTTTTTTATTCACTAATTAAAATTTATAGGTTTTGAATGAATAACACATGTGGATAGAAGGCCAATTTAGGTATTGGTCTCAATAACTAAACACTAATTCTTACAATGAAGAAAAAATATCAAAACAACTAATATAATTGCTTCTAAGATTTACTAGGACTCCATTTTTATGACTTTTTTTTTCTAATAAGAATCTTTTAACTAATAAAACCTTCTAAATTATAATAAATAATTAAATAATCAAATAGATTATATAATCTTAATATTTTGTATGTAAGTAATTTAAAATTAATTTTAAAATAATTCTACTAATTAATATTCATTAATAGAACTCACACTGCTTAAAAAATAGAATGACTTTTGAACAGCTAAACACCTATTTGGTTCTAGATGTGACAAAGTAATTAAGTAAAACTCTATGGTATTTAGTGTATTGTAATCATATACAAAAGTATGAATGAGCTTGCCTTAATAGCTACTCTATATTCTTAATACTCTTAGTTGTGCATGTAGATAAAAGGAGTTAAGTGATTTGTTGTAATTTTATCTACTCTTAATTTATAATTAGCATAATTAGTATTTTTGTTCAAAAAAATATTAAACATGAATTAATTTTATTTATACTTAGATATTATCTACTAATCATTAATTTGGTAGAAACAGCCTATTCTTTCTTGTCATGAAATGCTAATTCAAAACACCATGTTTTCAACTTGTACAAATCTTGAATTTCTATATCAACAAATAAATAAATAACCCTTAAAGAAAAATAAAATCTACTTTGTAATATGCTTGTCTCCCTATCTTACAAAAACACGTTTTAATTAGACTACAAACACCAATCTAACCAGATCATCTATATAACAACCATAGAAAAACACTTACCTAGTTGATACCTAATATTGAATGAACAAAATATCCAAATAGATTTATATATATATATATATATATATATACATACACACACACACCAAAATACTTTAGTAAAAATTTGTTGCCTAATAGCCTTAAAAAAAATTATTTAAAAATAAACAAAAACCGTAAACCCTAAATCCCTACAACCAATGTTTTGTGTGCTACTCAAGAATTTGTTGCCCATCGTTAAACTGCCAACCAAATTTGAAGCAGCTAGCCGGAATCCATCCCTGTCGATCCACATGGATGACCGACCAGTGGGGTGAAGTAAACAGACCCCTATCCACCTCTGAATCAACACACAACGGATGATCGGCGGATGAAGTAAAAATTGGCAGATTGCACCGAGATGATGTAGAGAATTGTTTGTTTTTTTCTGTTTTTTTTTTTTTTTTTTTTTTTTTGTGGTGGACCTCTGCCTGGCTGCAGGGAAAACAACGCAGCCACCGTCGCCCAGTCCCGGCCAGCCCAGCTCACGGTAACTCGCTAGGAACTGGAATTGCTTATGAAACTTAGGAATTTCGAGGATTCCGGCAAAAGCCTTCGTTGGAGAGGGTGGACTTTCGGAAGTGCATCGAAGGTTCTAGACATAAGCAGGTGGGCTTTTTGGGCGGTCCTTGTTACTGTTGTCCACGTAGTACCGATATGGAGGTTGGGGGAGGTGTCGGGGGCACAGCTTCACATGTAGGCACTCCATTTTTGTAGCCCCAAGAGCTCCCACTTTCGTATCCTTCGCTGCACTTTCAAAAACGCCCCTCGGGATCACGACCCCTCCCTGCTCCTGATTTGAACCTTCACTGCACTTTCGTAAGGCTAGTGTTGAAGCAACCAGGCCCTTTCTCCGGTATGCACACCAAACGCCGATACCGCCCACCCCTTTCCACCCCTCCACCCTCTTTCACGGACGATCCAGCGGCTGAGTCCTCCTTGGGATCGTGAGAGCTCCAAACGCCTCCTCCCTGACCTTCGATTGAATCTTCGCTAAGCTTCCCACAGGCTGAGATCGATGCCACCCTCCCTGGTGGAATGCAAACGTGGTGCGTTGTCTATGGAATTGGTATCCTTGAGTGCATGAGCCCCGATACCGTCCACCCCCTTTTACCACCTCCACCTCCCTTTCCCGATATGAATGCTCGCTGGACGATCCCATGGCTTGGATCGCCTTGGGATCATGGCCCATGGGAGTCTTGGTTTAAACCTTGCTCCGCAGTCGTTAGACTTGGGTCGTCTTAAGAGCACGAGAGACATGCACTCTTTCCCCTAACCCTCCTGGCTGGACGTTCTAATTGCTTGGATCGCCGTAGAAGGAAGATGGAAGCGTGAGCATTGAGAGTTTCTGACTACAAGTTCAAGCGATTCTTGGGTTGGGTTCTAGGTTGCAGTAGAAGTTGTTTAGGCCCAGGTTTCAGTTCTTGATTGCAAGTGATTTGGTGTTGTATGGCTGGCGCCGTGGATCTACTCTATCTCATGGCTTTTGAAGCTTCCAAGAAGTACAGAACGCTATCCCTTCGTTGTTTTCCAGGAGTATCAATCCCTCAAGCTGTTTAATTCTTCGTTTGTGCTGGTGTGTCAAGGACGAAGCATTGCTAAGAGGGGTCTCTTGTATCTTCAGGGTGCTTGTGCTCAAGTGTCTTCTGAGTGGTGACCGCTGCGATTGGGTAGGCATAGTCCCGCTGGGGCTGCTGGTATTAGCATTTATGCTGTGGATCTGCAGCACTGATAAGTCAACTTGGCGGAGCGTGCTTGAACTCGCCTGGGCTGGCGGAAAGCCTTCTGGTGAAAAAGCTGAAGGTCAGCTCCACTACTGTCTTCTCCGACCCGCTCTGACCCCTCTGACCCACTTGATCCTGGAATATGCAACCCCTTTCTGGAAGTCGCTTGGATACGTGGAGTCTAGTTCCTTAATTCTGTACCTTCGATGTTTCCACAAACTAGACTAGGATCGACTGCGGCTCTAACCTTTGCATCGCTGCTTGTAATACAGATATCGAGGCTGGACAGTACTCGTTCGCGGACCTTGACGAGGATCTTGCTGCTGTTGTGGAGAGCCCGCATCTCAGAGGAGGAATTTTAGATCAGCTCTCGGTCCTCATTGAATGAAGCTGAAGCAACTGTGACGACCATCGCATGAGGAGCCACAAGAATCTGACGATATTGAAGCTGTTGGACGAATATCCATTAATTTAGCTACTGTTGTGTAAGTTCTGTTCATCGTGGCACAATAGAAATGTATATGTGATATAGAAAGTATTCTCCGATGTAGGGTAATGGATTATGGCAAAGCCTGTTTGAGAAAGACTTTAAAAGCTATCCGCAGGACACATGCATAGAGTAGAACTGCGTTCCCTCTGAGGTAACTTTACAACACCCATGGTCCTGATCCCAGATCAATATGCATTTGCCCTAAATTCCATCAGCAATGGAGTTAACTTATGTTTCTAAAAAAGAAAAAATATATTTATGTGAATGTTTCTCTCTCTCTCTCTCTCTCTCTGTTTACACCTAAATAATTTAATTCTTTTGGCATTTAGAAGAACCATCTTCTCACATGTGGAAATTTGCCTGGATCACATTCGTTGAGTCGAACGATGTTGAGCACTCGCTTGTAAGATTGTTTCCGATACCGATGCGGTCAACCCCTACTGTTTTAAGAAGAAGAAGAAACCAAAGAGGAAAAAAAATATATTTAAAAAGAACAATACAAAAAGAAAAGAAAAAGAGGCTGGGAAGGTCCCTGGAACTCTAATACCGACCCCTGCAACAAGAACCCCGTTTCATCAGGATGAAGGATTCAAGGGTATGGTGTGCCAAAAGAACAAAATTTCAGACCACAACATGTGGACAAATTGTGTCGGAGAGAATGATTTCAAAAATAGAAAATAAAATAAAATAATTTTGTAAAACTATCTCTGTGATTGGACGCAGTGAATCTAACAAAAATGTAAATCTGGCATGTAAATGTTTTTATTTCGCAAAGATGTATAGTTGAATTTAAACAGCGAAGATAATTAATAATTATATTTTCTTTCAGATAGATAGAGAGACAGACAGACAGACAGACAGACAAGGTGAGAAGATACTATTTTTAAATATTTTGATTGAATGAAATTGGAAAACGTCACAAAGTTAGATCCATATTTAGAAATATCATTCTAAAACCCCTAAGAAAAAAAGATGAAGCAGACAGCAAGTATTATTTAAATAGCATAAAGAAGGTTGTTTCTTAAAATTTGAGTTAACTCCATCTCCACAGGTGGCTTTTAGAGCATGCATCAAAAAATTGCAATTAATAACCATTTCAAAAATAAAATATCCAACTTTTTTTTACTTCTTACAATGGTTTGAATCAAGACATAAGTTTATATATTTAGACTATTTATAAAAGAATAGTTTTATTCAAGGATAAATATTACACATGCCTTTGAATTTTCTTGAAATATCAAGAATATCCCTCAAGTTTTGATAATATTACACATGCCCTTCAACTTTGTGATAATTGCAAATTTTCCCTTTGGGCTGATAACCTATCTATTCCTATTTTTTTATAGTTTTTACTAGGGCCCAAAGCATGTGTTTTCGTGTAGTGCTTGGGCCCCATGCAAATCCCCTGCCACCACTGCAATCACACCAGCAGCTATCCATTATTCAACTCACCTACATTCCCCTTCTCACACCTCCCTTTACACACTCACACTCACATGCCCTCGTTGAATTAGCATCAGGTTTGTCATGGCCTCTGTAGGTTCCTACACAAATCATACAGTAGCTTCAACTCACAACAACTACAGAAATATCACAGATGCCCTTGAATTGTTTTCAATCTATTAAACCTATGAATCAAGTTATGGCTTCTCTCACACAATTTCATTTACAAACCACTAACACAAAATAATCATATCAAACATTGTCGTCCCTCATCCTTCGACACTATGGATTCTATCAATCAAACAACTTTAAAGCTTGTACTTGCAGGTTCAGGAAGCATTTTATAACCCACTGACATATGCGTCACTGGAGTGTCTCACTCATATGCTGGAGTGTCTTTTAAGGTTTAATTATTGGAAGAACATGGATGATTGACTTGCGGAGTAGGTTCTTTTAGCTTGCAATGGATTTTTGGCTTGATAATTTCCACTAAAGTCCGAGATGTTTGGCAGAATTTTGGCCTTCATACTCATAGGCTTTATGAATCACTAGTTTGGCATGTGAATTATTGTTGCCAATTCTTAATGACATGGAATTTACAGAATGTTGTATACAAGTTTGTCCTTCAGAGAGAGGGAGGGCAACCGAGCTTGGAGTCTTCTCTTCTCTTCTCTTGGCTTATTGTTGACTTGTGACATTTTCGAGGATGTGGAGCAAATTCCAATTTGTGTAGTGAATGTCGTGGAGGTCGACACTCCAGATACTTTCAATTACATCACCACTGTTAATCTACACAAGGACGTCTTGGTTCAAACCCAGGCCTATGAATGCCACTTTGGCTGCAAGGATAGTATTTGCCCTTGTGTGAAGAAATACAATGCTAGTGTGCTGGGGTACAACGATTATGGTCACCTCATTCTAGTGCACAACATTGTGTATGAGCTTGGGAGTTTTTGCAACTGCAGCCATGCCGCTTGCCAAAGTAGAGTGAGCTGAAAGGGATTAAGATGGCACCTGGAAATATTTTGGACAATGTCAAAGGAGTGAGGTGTTTGCACTTTAGAGTTCATTGCCTCTGGTAGCATTTTGTGTGAACTTACTGGGGAGCAACCAAAAAAAATTAAAGGCACATTATAAAGACACAAGATTTGTGCTGTATATAAAACAAAAAAAAGTAATAGAATATATGGGCTTTTGTCATATTAGAGATATCTTATAACACTCAAGGGTACATTTGCTATTATCAAGAATGTAGGGGTATTTTTGATATTTTAACATATTTGATGGATATGTATGATATTTGCCCTAATTTTAATGCATAACTCAATCAAATCTCTTCCCTTTGTGAGTAAAACTTACAATCCAATAATCTTAAGCTTTGTTGATAAAGAAACAATTAACATTTATATTACATATTTAAAAAAATGACAAAATTAATGTATTGAGAGATTGTTGCATCTCTATTGATTTAAACCTTTACATTTAAAACCAAGTTAGACTCTACTAAGCTTCATTTAATGCATTGAGTTATATGAAACCGTAGAGAAGATTACCTCGTTAAAAAATGACTCATCAGAAATCAATAAAAAAAATGCCCCACAAAACACATGCCTCCACCAATTCACAACAGGTTTAGGGTTTACTACTCCAGCAGATGCCAAGCGAGAAAGGACCATGGTCCACATTCTTCATGGCTCTTGGATCACGTTGCAGAGGACTACGTGCAAATCTATTAGCTTCGCAGTGCTCAGTTGCCCCTTCTGACGAGACTTCTCGGATTGGACCGAAGCTTTGCGCTGCTGATCCCACCATTTTGACCCTATTCCGTGCACAGAAGAGGTGAAAATTTTGTTCGATCACGGTACTCTGCTGCATCAGCAGTTCCGAGTTGTAGCTGTAGCCGGTTTTAGAATTTTGAAATCGATTCGCTCGCTTGTCGCTCAGCGTGGTCCTGGAGAAGGTGCAAATGTGAGCTACGGAATTCCACCCCTGTTTCAATTCCCAGGCAACTGCGGCATGCGTTGGGTTTTCCCAAATCGAGTGCGGCGAATTCCGGTGAAAGTAGATCAAATGAGCCTGGTGTCGTTGCCTCTTGGGTTGCCAGATGTGGGTCTCGTGTCATCTCTGAAACTGGGGTTCTCCGCGCATTGTGGGAGTTGTGGAATTTCGGGCTGGAGCGAAGGATTGGTTTTGTCCAGGGCTGTAAGCACAATTTCGAACAAGGGCGCGTTGCTTGAGCAGGGTAGAACCGACGATGGGTTACGGATTTGGTGGAAGAGAGGGCAGTCTGCTAGGTGTGCTGGGAAAGAGAACCCCAGATTCATTTCGCGAGGAGCCGTTGGCAAACGACGACCCACGAGGACGGTTGGGTCCGTGGTTGAGAGAATAGAGCGGACGCAGGAGGCTACGGAGAGGAGAGCATCGGGAGAAGAGTCAAGAAGGGAGTATCCCTACTCTTTGTTACGATCGCTTGATGAACGTATCAGGCAAAACCAATGGCAACCTGCTTTGAGGGTCTGTCTTCGCTCCTGACCCACGGTACTAGTTGGCGACAAGCAGTAGTTTTGTTTGGATATGGCAGAAATGCTTCTGTTGCATGTATTTCCTCTGGCTCGTTACGCTTTGTCGCCCTTGAAATTGCTCAGCCCACAAGGGGTCTCTGTGAGTCTCCTGCTCGCGGTAGAGATTGAAGAGACTGAAGCTGTCGAGGCAACATATCCTGGAACATGTACTGTTTGGCCATCCTGACTCGGAATGTGATCGGAAATGGTTTGCGTTACGACGTGTAGCTTGACTCTCGAGGTGGCATGTCGATTGCCGTTTGACAATGATTGCGCAGTGTTGGAGAAGTTGGCCGGGCCTGATAGATGCATGTGTGGATGAGATTGTTGTACATGATCTCTGCAGATTTGCGATGTTGCTGAAGCCGCGTCCATGGGGCACTGCGGTTAACGGGGTCGCATTGTGGCAGGTGTTCGAGCTTGTGAGAGCGCAAGAGTGGTACACCGCCGACCTGTCAACGTATCTGAAGTTATTGACGATGCTAGCGAAGGCAAAGCAAGCAGCAGAGGCGTCGAACGTGTTCGACTGTCTGCTGGAAGACAAGCTACGCCCCACAACCGCGATATTTACAGCTCTACTTACCGTGTTCACGCAGAGCAACCAGTTCAAGAAAGCATTGGAGATTTTTGAGTCGATGAGGCTCTACGAAGGATGTGTACCTGACAAGTACACGTACACTGCGATGATCAAGGGGTGTTGCGAGGCAGGTCTGTATGTGCAGGCGAGGAAAATATTTGACGAGATGATGATTGAGGGAGTGAAGCCCTCCATCGTCACTTACAACATTCTCATCCATGGATATGGAAAGGCCGGTTTGTTCAGGGAGGTTGAGCGCGTTCTATCCACAATGGAAGCGAACAATGTGGCGCCTGATACAGTGACGTGGAATACGCTGATAAGAGTGTTTGGACTCAACTGCAAGATACCTGAAATGGAGCAAGCTTACGAGGGCCTTCTGAGACAAGGTCTACAGCCGGACATGGTGACTCTCAACAGCCTGATATCGGCATATGGAACGGCGGGCTTGTTTGAGAAGATGGAGAGTGTGACTCAATACATGCAGAGGTATAACTATCCTATGACAAGAATCACATACAATATTATTATGGAGGCTTACGGAAGGGCCGGAATGGTGGACCAAATGGAGGAAACTTGGAAGAGAATGAAAGCGGAGTTCGTGAAACCGAACAGTAGCACTTTTTGTTCCATGTTGAGTGCTTATGGAAGACATGGATACTGGCACAACGTTGAGAAAGTAATGCGACAAGCGCGATATTTTGACGCAGCTGATACCGCCGTGTACAACGCTGCTATCGATGCTTTTCAGAGGGCCCAGAATTTCGAGGATATGGAGAAGATATTCGAGGAGATGAAGCTGAAGGGTCATGCGCCTGATGACGTAACTTACAGCATATTGATAGGAGCTTACGAGAGAATTAGGAGGGTCGACAAAGCACGGGACTTGCAGGAGGAGTGGAACGGATCAGTGAAAGAGTGTGAAGCTGAGTGAAAGAGAGACCGATCCGGAAACATCAGCACAATCGAAGCAACAGGACTGACTAAAGTTCAAGATGTAAGGTATTGATGCCGGTTGAAGTAGCGTTGCACGAGCGATTGTTGGAGGCAAAGTGCTGGTGGATTGAATTGCATTCGTAGCGAAAATGAAGCAAGTTGCTTGTTGTGTAGCAAGTTAACATGAGGGTCGGGGGTGAATGGTTTTGCACTGAGATTTGGCAAGAACTGTGGGACCTGGATTAGTACAGATCACAACGATCTGTTTTGAATACGCCTGCTGTTTTTCTTTAGTTGCAAGCGTGAGACTCTACAGGGTGATTGAGAACAGGACAGTGCCTAAGGGGTGCATTCTACTGTGTTGGTTTGCAGATGATGAAAAATCGAAGTTTGCACTGCCGATGTTGTCGATGACGTTGAGGGTGTGCTTTGGAGGTGCGTCCTTGGTAGTTGTGTTAGTGGATGCAGTTGCGTGGAACATTATGATTGTTTTGCATACCCAATGCTGGTGAATGGAGGTCTTATGAGGAAGTTGATTTCAGTAGTATTCTCGTGGAATGAGGACTTCAGGATCAATGCTGTTGTGCAGTCTGGCGATGCACTTGTGGAGGAAATGTCGAGATGAATTTCGTAGTCAGATGCACAGGTAGTCACATGCGAGGACTCTTGTTGTGGCGGATGCGGTGGCGAGCCGAAGAAGTGGACGAGGATATCACAGAGATCTATTGTTCGTACTTGAGATGTATGAAAGGACCACGTGAGAGAAGACTTAGTAAACTCAGCTTTTGTACCTAGGGTTGAATATGGATGACATAGGGTTCTTGAAGTCGATATGTTCACCATATAGTTTCGGGGTGGTGGGTGCAGTTCAATGACTGCTGTAGATCCATTTTGCAGTTCGTACACCGTGCTGAAGACGTTGAACCAGTTTCGTCCGTAAGCCGTACAGGTATACTCCTCATGCATTACAAAACCTTGGGCATCAGTCACCCCAATTTCCACCTCAGTCCTCCAGTTCCTTCGAACACGTTCCTAGGTTTTGGAAACGTTGAGTTGATGAATGTGGTGCATCTTTGTGCGGTCTGTTACTCGCTTCGAGAACAAGTGGAGCTTTGCATTATTCTACCAGTTGAAGGATGGTGTCTCCTGGGCGCGGGAGTGGCAATCTGACATTGGGCAACCAGGTATCATTGTTCGCATTGTATCCATTACTCTTTTTCCTTCATCACCTTCCAAGAATGTGATGCAATGCAAAACTCCGTCGACACACACTCCGTTTTGATACTCATTCAGAGCAAAGGCCGAGCTTGGGACGTCATCCGTAACTGTCCTCTTCGACGTAGTAGAGTCGAAGACCTTCGTTTTTTTGACAAGTGCTCGTCATTGGCACTTCTTGATACGACTTTGTATGATTGATTGGTGGGATAGTATAGCATGTGCAAAGAACAAGTTTGTGATGGAAGTGGGAGGGTGGTAATGTTCTGAACTTGTAGAGGAATTGACTACAATTTGTTCTTCATTTTGTTGACATGTATATGTATATAAGAGGTATTGGGGGTTCAATATAAGACAATTTGTTCTTCATTTTGTTTACATTTATGTACATAAGAGGTATTAGATATAAGATATAAGAGAGAGGTGGCAACTATTTATAGGTATTTGTAACCTTTATTAAAAAGTATTTGGCATTGAATTGTGCTTTATTAGAGCAACAATGTTATATTATGTGTCTTCTTGCTTGACAATGTATTAGGTGTTTAGCTATGAAATTAAAATAGAAATGCAAAAACAATCCTATCAAGTCTAATAGGATCTCAAATAACCTTAAGTAGATCTTAATAATCTTGATTAAACTTTGATCAATTCAAAATAAATTTAAAAGAAATTATAAAAAAAATATAAAGAAGTCTTAAATTAATCTTTAAAAAAAATAACAAGAAATCTTAAATTAATCTTAAAAAAAATAACAAGGAATCTTAATGAAGTGTAAAAATAAACTTTTAAAGAAATAACAATAATCTTAAAGAAATATTAGAGATAAAAATCTTTAAAGAAACAATAAAAAATCCTAAATGTACATTAGAAATAGAAATCTTAATATAATTCTAATTAGAATCCTAATCAAATCTTAACCAAATCATAGGCCAAACTCTAATTGAAATTTTAATTGAACCTTAATTAAATCCTATGTCAAATTCTAATTGAACCTCAATTAAATCATATGTCAAATCCTACTTGAATCTTAATTAAATCTTATGTCAAATTTCACTAAAACCTAATAAAATCTTAAATCTTAGACAAATCCTAATCAATTCCTAATCAAGTTTAAAACCAAATCCCAAGCAAATCTTAAACCCAACCAAATTCTAAATCAAATCCTAAGTCCTAGTCAAACCCTAGATAAATCTTAAATCAAATCGTATAGCAAATTGGAACCTCAAAAATTAATGATCAAATCATTGATATTAATTCAAAATTTGCATACTTCTTAAAATCTTAGTTAGAAACAAGTATAAGAAAGATGAAATCAATCACTCTTACTTATTGAGAGAAATAGAAGATAATCCAATTAGGTGTTGAGTGGCCTCCTACTTTGACCTAAATGTTTCATCATTCCAGTACCGATTCCTCCTTCTTGAATTGTTAAATTGCTCTCAAATTTCACCTAAATGTTGGAAATTTAGTCTAATATCCATAATAAAAAATAAAAATAAAAATAAAAGTGACTACAATCCAATTGACAGATTGCTAAAGATCTTAGAAACACTCATTGACCCTCAAACTCCAATTTTTGAGACCTCAATCCACAAAATCTTTACACACTTCAATCCAACTATTTGATTGACTTCAAATTGTGCACATACATTTACAACTAGTACAACAACACATTGCCCAAAATTCATATGTATACACACCACAAAATTTAAGAAATCCTCAAATTTGTAAACATATTTTTATTTCTCAAAATCTAAACCAATTGAGAACATAATTGACTTTGAAAATTCTTCAAAATCTCAATATTGATTCAATTGACATAAAACGAATGTATAAAAATCTCTCCTCAAGTTTGCTCTGAAATCTTACTCTTTGATCTACTAAAGAACTCTAAAGTTGTTGTTTAGGTATGGTTTTTTGTCTTAGGTTTGATTTTGACCTAAGTTGACAATTGGTTCTCTTTGAGTGTCAATTTTTAGTAATTTGAGGTAAATTTTACTTTATCCCACTTTTAATTCTTTTCTACATATGTCTATATTTATTTCTTATCTTATTTATTATGATTTGGCTCATTTATATCTCTACAAAGTAAATAGAATGTCCTTCTATTAAAAGATAGCATTAAGACTACATCTTTTATTATCTTTCTATTTTTTATCTTTATTTTTTTATTACATCTTTTTGCTAGGCTCTTCTATAGTAACATCTATTTTTTTATTTTTCACTATATACTTGTGTTACCACACAAAAATGTTTGCCTTGCATGTACTAATATGTGTCACTATTGATGAGGCAATGAAAATGTAGGAATCGTGCCTTGAATTGATGTACTTGCTTAAAGTTAAGCTATATAAGAATAGTCTCTTGAATATGTGTGCAAATTGATAACATTTATAAATTTAATTTGGATGTTTTCTTTTTACATAGATTTTTTGTTCACTACTTCATATAGTTACTAATCATGTTCAATTCAATTCAATTCAATTCAATATATTTAATTCAAAAAATAATTAAAATTGATCTAGATTAGATAAGGTTAATTTAGTTGGATTCCATAGTTAGTGAGGTTTTTCTTTGAGAAACTAAAACTTAAAGTTTAACATCACTAAATATTGTATTTGTGATTTGATCATTTAAAAGAGTAAAATGTGGTTTAAACGATTTCTTATTGTTAATTATTTTAAATTTCTTAATTATTTTTTTTTCCAATAAAACAAGATGGTTATACAATTCTATACATAAATGTATCTTATAAAATCATCTTATATGATCTATACTTCATGTATGCATGCAAAAAGTTATAAATGCAATTTAGAAGTTATTATTTTTATCAACTATACCTACTTTTATAATTTCAAAATTATCAATAATCTTTAATTACAACTTTTTTATTATAAATTAAAGCATCATCTTAATACCATTTCTATCATCTCTTATAACTTTATAAATAATATTATCAATAACTTTCACATTTATCTTAAGAAGTCCATATCCTTAATGCTTCACTTCTCATTTTCTAATATATCTATTTTTTTTATTTTTAATTATAATTCTAACTACTATTTTATATTCTTAATTATAATTCTAACTATTATTTATATTCTTAATTTTTTATTTTATATTTATATTTTTATGAAATCTTAAATAAATTACTTTAATTTTAAAAGAATCATAGCTTTATAAGATTCTTACTATAAAACATGAGATTTTGTAAAGTTATTAATTTTATCAATTACTTGATATTTTGAAATTAACTTAATAAGTCTAAAGCTCCTTTCTGCTTCCAAATTAGATTTTATCTTTATCTAATTCAAATAGAATAGATAGTTTTTTTTATTTTTTTTTATTTTATTTTTTTTTAATTTTTATATAAATTTTTTGGTATATTTACCATTTTGATATATTCACCGAATATTATATTATATTTTTTGTTTTCAATATGAATTTTTTGTATTTAAAATATTCTTAGTGGCTTCTTAGATAGAGTCAAAGACAATAAATAAGAGGGCATTTTATTTTTAAAACTGTAATAGTCATCCTTCGAATTGCTCTAATCTCAACAAAAAAACATCAATAAATAGGTAACAACATTATCTAGAAGCTTAAGGCTTCTACTTAGCTAACTTATAAGATATAAAAATAATTAAACAAAAAATTAATGTCCACTGATTTAAATTTCTATAAGTTTTGTTCAAACTTTGTATGCAAGAACTTTGACTTGCCTAAAAAGCAGCTAAAAAGAGCACAAGAAGATATATAAATGCACTCTTGAGTAGTGTTAACAATTCAACACTTTATTCTAAGTAGAAAACCTTCTCAACTAGGATTTTTATACTAATTCACTACAAAATGTGTTTTTTGGTACTATAAGTGTATCTTTTTTCTAAAAATATATTTAAGTTGTGTCAAGAACTTTTAGAGACATTTCAAATATATATTTTTTAATTTTGATTTATTGACTTTTATCTTGTACTTAAATAAGTCTTAGATTTATTACCTATAAGCTCTATTGGACTTTAAATAGCTAGTGAGTATAACTTTTAATAGGTCAATAAAAAAAATTAAGTTTTAATAATAATTAAATTTTAATTTAATATATAGATATAGTTTTTTTTATCTTTTTTTAAAATTATTTTTTCATATATTATAAATTTGATAATTTTTTAGTCCTTTTAATGTATTTAAATTTTATATATTCATATTATATTAACTTCTTAGGATTTTATATACTCTGATTGTATTCTTTAGTTGACAAAACTAAAAAATGACATTTAAAGAATAGTTCATCTTTTCTTATAAAATATTTTTTTTATAGAAATTATTGGTTCAAATATCTATAAAATGTATTGACTTCCTATAAAGCTTGTAATTGTTTTTTAAAAATCTATGTTAAAATTATAAGGTATTTTTTATTTTTTTTCTTAATTAATTCTTTTATTGGTTTAAAAAGTATTTTTTTGATCAAATACATCTTTTTTTAATATTATTCTTATTTATGTTCATTTATATGATTAGCTATCTTGTTTTATTTTATATTTTTCTTTTTTTCTTTAAAATACTTAATTTCCATATTTTAAACTAACATCTTATATTTTATTTATCTTTTTAAATATTTTTTTATTTTTCTGTTTTCCAAGTTTTGTATAAGATCCATGCTTTTTAAATTTTAAATTTTAAAATTATTAAATATTAAGATCTATAATCTTTTAATTGAGATTTAGTATAAAAAATTTTCATTCTACAATCAATTGTCTTTTATGAGGTTTGAATTGAAATCTTGTAAGATACACATTAATGCTTTAATTGGATGTGTGCTTAATAAATGAAGCTTTTTTATTTGAAAAGAATGATGCTTAAAGCATGTATTCAATTATGTTAGATTGCAGATGATAAAAAAAACTATGGTTTGCATTGCTAATATTGTTGATGACATTAAGTAGGTATCTTAGATGTGTATTATTGGAAATTTTGTTTGTAGATGCAATTGTATTGTGATGTTATGTAAAAATCAATCTAAGAATGCATTAAATATTTAGCTATAGAAAGATCTCTAATTAATCTAAATTTGGACTTAGAATTTTAAAAATATATATATTAAGTATTTAGAAACATCTTTTTGACAATCTTAATCCTTTAATCTTTAATTATTAAAATATCCTAAGTAATCTCTATAAAGATTTAAAAAATATTAGTTGTATCTTATTAAATTCAAATTAATCCAATTAACTTTCAAGAATCTTTAATAATCCTTATTAAATATTAATTAAATCTTAATTAAATCCTACTTTAATTCTAAAAAAATCTTAAATAAGCTTTAAAAAAAATCTTAATTGAATCCTAACAAATCCAAAGTGAATCTTAAATAAATTCTAATTAAGTCTTAATCATATTTTGATTACTATAATTAAATTCTAATAAAATCTAAAAAAATCCTAAATAAGCTCCAATTGAATCCAAATGAAATTTTAAAATATTCTTATAAAATATTAAATTATTC